TGGAGCTGATGTTTGGATACACCTGTTGCTTTCTTTTATATGATTTGAAATTATTTCCATGTAGAATTTTTATAATTTTTGTAATGAACATCCCATTAAGAATATTTTCTTCCAAGAAGAATAGTTTTACTTTCTAGGCTATGCAGTAAAATAAGTAGTCTTAAAGGACAAACTCCAACTGAAATGCTGAGGAAAAGCTAAATGAGACTACTTCAGGAAAGCTGGATTTCATTTTAGAGCTGATCTACTGTAAAAGCTAGAAACTGAGTATCTGTCCTAGAAGCATTAAAAAAATTCAAATACAAAGCAACCAGTAGGAAAAAGTTGTTACATATATTAAGGATTGTCTGGAAGAATGCTTAGATGCAAATGAAAACATATACCTGTGAATATATATCAGCAATTAGATTGCAAATGTATTAGCAGTTGGCGTTTCTTTCAGGAATAGCTATCAACTGTTATAAATTCTGTTCACAGTTTTTCTTTGGCACTTGCGATTTAGATCCATCTCATTTGTACCTCTCTTCTGAATGCAGTTCTGAAAACTGGAACACTCTTTTATCATGTTGGTATTATGAGGCTATTGCTCCAGAGTCCTTCAGAATGCAAAGAAATGTTGCTTAATGGAATTCTTACGGTAATGTCAAATTTGTACGAATCTCTTAAGGTTTGCTGTTATGAATTCTTGTGCAATGTAATGAACAACAAGTTTAAAATGGTTTTCGACAATGAGACCAAGTTTTTATTGGGTTTCAAGTGGAAACACAACATGGTTAATAGAGTATCAGAAAGAAATTGAGGTTTGAATTTTGTTCAACTATATGAAAGCTTAAAAATATTTTTTTTCTTGTGTACTTACAGACAGGCTATCAGAGCTGTTCATCTTACTGATAGATAAACAGAGGAGTCAGTATGACACTCATATTAGAAGGACTGACTCTTAAGCGGAGCTGGTTGTAATACTGTGGTCTGTCAAAATCTGCGCTGATGTGATGAGGTTATGTTTTGGTGAAGCGTCTTGTTTTTTAAAAATGCTGTCCTGTACCATTCTAAATTTAGTTAAACCAAATGGAAAAGTTTGGAATATGCTTGGAAGATTTCAGTTAAGCTGATCGACTGACTGACTAGTTACTAGTTTTAAATACTACACTCCCTTATTCTTTTGCTGGTGGTTTTCATGTTTGATTGATATGTAAGAGAAATGAGGTATAGCTAACTTGGGGTCTTATTTTACTGTCTGCCTTAATGTTTCATACTGTATTTTTATAGTAAAAGTACTGCTGCAGCTCCTCCTCCTCCTTTTCCCATTGCTACCTCACTAGAATTTTGTTTATAATAAAGTTGTCACTTGTTATGATTGAAAGCTGAATCTTCAGTATTTGGTGCTTTAATAAAACCTTAGCTGTTAAAATGAGACAGCGCATCAGAATTCAAATCTTCCCTTTAAAATGTAGCTTCACATCTTTACACTGTCTTTAGTGTTTCCCAGTTGCTATGAAGATCTTGAGTAAGAAACGAAGTAGGTGAACTAGATCGGGAAGAAGAAAATGGAAGAGGAAAGAGTTATGTAGGATGCATCAGCAGAATGTAAACAGCTTTAATGTTTAACCCAGAATAACTCAAGCTTTTTCACTGGACTGGAAATTGTGATGAATTGTTAAGTGGTGACTTACAATTGACTCTCTTGTTTAAGAGATCCTTTGGTGGCAAAAAATGAGGACTGTGTTGAAAATATATAGAAGTGCTCTTCTAATGCCCATAAACTGTGGCTGGTCTTCTTTCTAATGGCCATAAACTATGCAGTGCCATATTTTTGCCTAGCCTCTTGAGCATATGTACTTGGGCACGATGCAGTTGACATTTCTAACACTGGTATTTGCTTGTCTGGAATATAAAACTGCAGGGAAAGGATATTGAGCCTTTTTAGGATGGCAGTGCATTATTCTTTGTAGGTTTTTGCTAATATATGTTGCCAGGGAATCTAAAGTTTTGCACATTCGCCCCCAAAACCTGCAAAAATTATACCATTGCTTCTGTTCACGTCTGTTTACAAAAAGGGTTTAATTTTTTTTTGATAGATAAGGAGGGACATGATGCAGTAATATCTGGGATCATATCTTCCACTTGGGTAATCCTTCTAATTAATTTATGACTTGCACTGGGTTTTTTTGCATGTAGTCTCTGCAGTGATTAATCAGAATTTTGAAACTGGCAGCCCGTAGCAGCATTAGAAAAGACAAAGCCTAAATTACAAAAAATTGTAACCAATTAACTTATTCTACCTGCCTGAGAGTCATTTGTAGGCAGAAGTACTCCTTGTCTCTGTGAAGTATCAGATGTACTTGAAATTATTATAATTAAATATAATTTTCATGATGCCAGTGAGTGTGAAAGGTACCATTCCTGTGGCAGTGATGGTCAGTGCTAGACGTCAGCCTGTTTTACATTTAAATTGGATAAAAATTAATACTGGGCCCTGTATCTGCTACGGAACTCTGCACTGGTAGTTTTTTACGGTAACTATGATGTTGGCACATAATAACTTCTGCTAAACTGAGGAAAAAATTAAGAGCCTGGAGAGAATATGGAAAAGTCTCAACGAGGATTATCTCTTCTCTTTCTCCCTGAGCTTTTGTTTTGCCTTCTACATTGCTTTTCAGTATGTGAAGCACATGATTTTTCCACTCTAATTAATGTAGACTTCCGTGTGCACTTTTTCCTTTCACCTGTATTGTTCTGCAGTAGAGCAGATCTATGCAGAAATCTTCCAGTGGGAGGGGTAGCTTCAGCACTGCAGCATCGTGGCTCCTGTGGGATGGGAAGGGGATGGTAGTTTGTGGGAAGTGTATGCGAACTGATTTTACTGTCTAGTCAGAGGTGCAAAATGCTTGAAAAAGTGAGGCAGAGCTCTGAGTGCTTCGGAGAGGAGCTGAGAAGTCTGGTGCTCTACTTCAAACTAGAAGTCTTGCTGACTTCTGAGCAAGGTAGGAAGAACAAGGCCAGCAAGGAAGCGTACATCTGGGAAATGTGATGGCTTGTCACTAGGTGTGGTAGAGTCAAAAGTACCTGGAAGATGACCTAGTTTAATACAGAGAGGACAGAGGATTGTGGGAAGCTGCTGTTTTCTTTCTCTCAAAGTAGAGATATCTTCAGCCTTGAAAGGATGATGAGCTACTTTTGTTGCTCAAAAGGGTGATTGTATAGATAAGAGATGTTGGAGGGATTACAGCCAGAGTGGAATCAATAATGGATTAATATTAAACCATAACCAAAGAATTGAATTATCAGCATTGTGCTGTAGACCACACAGTTACAGGAAGCAACTAACCAAAACAAAACAAAAAGTTGAAAAATAGCCTGTGAAAAAACACAAGTTTTCTTATTGGCCTGTTGGAAAATGAGACCTGCTCCTACTTCAACCGCATTAAATGAATAAAATCCAGCACATTTTTGTGCATACTTTTAAGAAATATTTACAAGAAGCAGTTCCTCAATTCAAACAATGCAGTTAATTGTAAATGATGCTTTGGAGGTATTGCTCTAAAGAGCATATGTTACCATAAATTACTGTTGCTCATAAATTAGCTGGTTTTACAGTTGGGATTCTTCTGATACCAGATGAATTAGTTGAAACTGTAAAAGAGAGCAAAAATGGAAAGTGCTAAATCTGTTCATAATGTTTCTGGAGTATTAAAATTTTTCAATGTGTGAGGAATGAAGGAGGGGAAAAGATGCCTGTGGGAGAAACAGATTATGCAAAAGTTGGACATAAGGGAACTATAAAATACAAGGTATAGAAAGATAAGAGGATATGGCGATTTTTTTTTTTTAATTATATGTGAAATCAGCCAGGGAGAGGAGATAAATGATAATTGCTTTGAAATCTCCAACACTGATGGGAAGCAGCCACAAAAGGAGCGTTGCAAAAGGGAACATACTATGAGATATTCTTGTGTTACTTTTGAGTAGTACTTTCACAGATAAATTCTAAAAAAAAATACTCTGTGATTTACTGCTTGAGAACACCGTAAGTGTTTTCATGTTGTTGTTCATGTCTCAGCCCAGTGCTGTTTGGAGTATGAGGGAATGTAAAATGAAAAATGAGTGCACAAGATTGAAAAAACGATGTTAATCAGAGCTCTGGCCACCAGGTACTATGGACAGCAACAGCATGGGCCTTTGTTATGGAGCCTTTTAAAAATGCTGAGCTCTTTGTCCCACCACTTCTGCTCTTCCTCACTGCAAGAGTTAGAAATGTTCTTCATTCTCCAGCATAGTTTATTCTTTCCCAAGTTGGTCTTGTGTTCTTGTAGTCTAATGTTTAAACAGCTGAAGGTTTGGTCCTGCACACACGTTTTGCTCTCCTGCTGTGACTCAGGAAGCAAAATGCAGGGGATCCTCCAAACTTTGGCTCTTCCAACCACATTTTTCTTCTCCTGTTTTCTTTACCCTGTGGAATGATGTAAGATGAGTGGGTTTTTAATTTTTTTTCTTTGGAGGTTACATTTTCACAATTATGTTGAATGTATTTGTTTCACTTGAGGGGGGATAGAGGTTGTAATCAGAGAAAATCAGGTACAAAATTAGTGTTTTGTTCATTCTTTGAATATAACACCACTGTTTTATTATCCCACATCCTCCCCGCATTTGGTGAGTTGGAAAGTTGTCTATGAATGACAAAAGTCTCTAACAAAACTGGCTTGTGTAGAGTGAATGGGGAATAAAACCCCTTTAATTCCTGAGGAGACCATGAAATCTAAGTATCAAGCATGGACTGGATTAAAGCACACTGATTTTTGTAGCCGTGGCAACTTCCTGTGTAATCTCCTATTTTGAGAAATGGGGTCAAGGATAAGATTATTAAAACATTCCTCATATCTGATGCAGTTTTGATAGTAGAGGATATTATTTCTTTGTCTGTGTCCTTATTAAATATAACAGTTAAACCACAACAAACAATAAAGCTAATCCCAAATGTTTCTTTTTGTTGTTTTCCGAAGGATTCATCCTCCTGAATTCTTTAAGAAAAAATATGCTGTGGATGAAGTCCATTATGTGAATGAGGTGAGTTGTCTGTGTGTCTGAATATTTTTCTGTTAATAGAAAATCAATATGTGGCAACGATGCTGCTTAATTTTAGTCTTCTGCTTACTGGATATCTCCTGACTTCGTGGGACTTTCCTCTCTCCAAGTTACTGGAAGTGGTAAAGCACTTGACATGTATTATTTTCCTTTTTTTTAAAGACTGCCGTTTTGAGCTGAACACTAAAGTCTTAATCAAAAAATGGTCTCATAGACATGTTCTTTGTATCGTGAAACCTGTCAGTCTGCAAATTTATCCAACAGAAACATGTTGCTAAATACATTTTTTGCAGTGCCTTGGAGATTTGACAAGATTGCTATCAGGGAGGTTGCATGTCTTAGCTCTGACTTGGGAGCTGACATTTATTTTATGACTTCAAAGAGCTGTGAGGAAAGGCTGTCTGCTTACTATTAGTTTATGTTGAATCATTCTAATATTTGAATAAACAAATATATTCATATTTTTAAATGCAAGTGTGACTTGCTTAGTTATGTTTCTTGTTTAATTTCTGAGCAGATGTTTGTATACTTATCCACCTGTCCAGTTGTCTTTTCTTTGGTAGGAAAGCACAGCAGGGTTAGGACAGTTTTCCTGCCAAGCTCTGTGGGTGATTTTCATGGAGAGCAGCTTGAAAAGGAGGACTCTGATATTTCTGTCCCTGCAGAGCACTAACTCTGACACGCTAGACCAAAATTTCTGCTCTTGTCAGCTGTGAGGATGTTTCATTTCATTTTCATAATGAGTCCAGCTATGAAGTGAAGTTTGATCCTGTATTTCAGTAGTCTGGGGTGGAGGCAGCTGTGAAGAGGTTGCTTTTTGACGTGTGTGTCATGTAGAATGCAGGTGCTCCAGTGCTCATCTGTCAGATGCTGAAAATTGCAAGTGGAAAATACATGGTTTATTTTTAAAAATAACATTTACTTTGGGTCACCTTAGTTGTTTTGGGTCACTTTCCATCAACAAATGCCTATATTGCAGTTCTGTTATCTGCTTGCTTACTGATTAAAAACCTCTATGGGGACCAGCCAGCGTAAAGTCTGCTTTCCACCTGGATTGCATGTATTGAGCTCAGAAGCTGTTCAGCTTTCTGTAACTTTTGCCCAGTTTGCCAAGGAATTGGGTTTCCGCCATTAGGACACTAGGGGCCTTATTTACAGGGTAGTTTTATGTCAACAAATGCCCAACTTGTATATCTACCAATGTAGGTATGTAATCCTGATACTTCATGGGGAAGAAAAGAAAAAAGTGGAATTGGTATTTTTAAACCTCATTGCCATGTGTTTTCTTTCATTAATATTATTATTATGCTATTAAGCTGTTTTAAAGTCGGTAGGACTGTGCACCATGGAATTATGTCATCTGTTCATTGCCTCAAGAAATGCGTAAAAAATGTGGCCACCTTTCTGCAGCTGCTCTGAGATCCTAGTTCTCTGCAAGCCCAGTGATCTTGCTCTTAGTTTATAAATGTTTGAAAGATACTGAAGAAGCCTGATAGAAGTATTAGTAAAAGATGACCAGTGAGAGTAACAGTAAATACTCATTACTAAGTATTTGGCACATTGTAGCATAATAGTATTAATGCATGTGTGTTTTATATGTAGTAGTATGTTGAGGATATAGTACCTTCTTGTTCTGTACTGTTTCTGTGTGACCTTACAGCATTTTGGCTCATATTTCCTCTGTCATCCAAATTATGACAGTAGACTTAATTTTAAGTTCTCCAAAGGACACCATCAACTTAGGCACTGCATTGCTGTCTAAATGTTTTGTGATCTACTGACTTGTTGCATGTCTCAGGTAATAAATACTTCAATATCTGAAAGATACTAGAGGAACATTTTTGTCTTTGCAGCTTGTTTACTTTGCATACAGCAAATGTTCATGAAAGTGTTATCAGTATGATTCTGAGGAAGAAAAAGACAAAATTAATAGCAACATAAAATTTCTTTCTAGATATCCAGTGTTCTGGCTTCCAAGAACCCTTCCGTGCTTCTTACTTTGGTGAGTCATATTCCGAAGGATAACTATTCATTTTTTTCAAGAAGGAGATCAGTTTATTCAGCATTTCTTTGCGCTGTTACTCAATATGTTTTCCTTCCCATCTTTGCCAAATTTAAGGCCACCTCTGTACAGTCATCTAACCTTCTGGCCCCACCATGATCTCAAGATTCGTAACCTCAGGCTTTCCAGTCTATATCTTCTTGCTGCCAAAGCTTTATTTGTTTTCTGGTAAAACATGACAAACCTATCTATCATCACCCATGCTATCCTCCAGCCTGTGTACAGTGACTGCAAACTCCTTTTATGCCTTATGCTGTTCTGGTCATGTCATGAGCATGTTAGCGCCTTTCTGTGGGAATCCCCCAAGGATTCAGGGAATACTTTTTCTGCATAGAATGAGTTGATAAGAACAACTGCTGGAGGGAGGGAGTGATACCAAACGCCTGCCAGGTATTTTTAGTGGTGCTTGCTTATTTCTCTGGAAGGAGGATGAATTGAGTGGAGGTAAAGCCTGCAAGTTTCTTCTTCCCATCACCTCTCTCCCAGCTGCTTTCCTTGACAGATGTTTTGTAAACTGTATGAAATGATTTGCTGACTCTGAGCTTTCCCTTACAGCAAATGCAGTGGCAGCTCCTGGATTTACCAGTGGCCAGACAAAAAATCCCTCCCTAAAGCAGTCATGTAGCATGAGATCTGGTTTCTTTATCCGTTAAGAACAGAGGCCCTAAAAAGTTTTCAGTCTTTCTTCCACTTACATTTGTATACTTACACGTATAAAAGATGACCCTATAGTTTTCTTTCATATTCTTTAAGAGAACGTGAAAGAAAGGGGAATATTTGGGAAAGGGAATATTTGTTCACCTTGTGCTTCTTACTGTGCATTTCTGCACATTGAGTTCTTTAGTAGTTGTCACTCTGTGAGCATCCTGTTATAATGAAGAATTTTCACCTCATTTTTAGCAGAGAGGAAGGAGCTGTGATTCTTCCAAATTCCTCCCACTGAAGAAGTGTACAGAGAAGGGAAGAGCTCTTCTCTTTCCTCTGCCTGAATGGACACTTGGTCCTCTTCTCCTGTGGCCTCATTCCAGATACGGAGCTGTAACGTTGCTTCACAGGTTTTCCCAGGCACAGTGTTCATCTGCTGTATAGCAGCCAAAATACTCTTGTTTATGCTACTTGCTTGAAGGGAAACCTGTAGGGGAACACCATGCAAACTTAAATAACAAGCATCGCCAAGGCAGGGCATAAAAATTTTTTTTTAAATGAAATTACTTTAGAAAAAAATCCTGTCCATTTGTTGTTCTCTTGCCCTTTATTACTATATAGGTCTCCTAGCTCCCTCTCAAGACATAAGGGACTTAGAAATCCAAGCCTGCTGTATTCGTAACCAGCACATCCTAACCTAAGTTCTTTGTTGGTCTCCTATGAAAGTCTGGGGTTTTAATTATAGTCATTCAAGTAAACTTACATATAAGTTTTCCTAAAGACTGCAGTCAGGTTCTCCCCATGATGTATGTTTTAAATGCTTGTGTTCAGCTCAGAATCATGGTCCTTTTCATCTTTTTCCCTCCCAGCGTGGTGTTAATACTGATAGTGGAAATGTCACCAAAGAAGCTTCATTTGAAGGAATCAGCCAGTAAGTGACAAGGCTTTTTTATCCATTAGCTGTTGCACAGTTAGGTTAATTCATTTTATACTTCACATTAAATGACATTTTTCCTAGTGACAGTATGTTGAATGGCAGATGAAATATATTAATATTTCTTTGGGAATAAAATGTTTGACAGGTTTCTAATGACTTGAAGTACAGTGGATTTTGGTTTGGTTTTGTGTTGTTTTTTGTTTTTTAATATCTTTTGTATATCTGATTTCGTCCAATGTTTCTCTTTATTTGTGTTTGCTTTAAGTATCTAAAACCAAACAGACCCATCCCTTTACCTCCATTTTCACAACTGGGATTGGAATATTTGGGTTTCAAGTTTCAGGCAAATTAGTCTTTAAGAGTAGCTTCTTTCTCTTACTGACTTCCTTGGACAGTATTAAGGTAGATATTAGGGATTCTGGTATGCACAATCTTCTGAAAAGATGTCGCATTACAGATGTAAAATTAAAGATCACTTTTCTGCCTAGATGTGATCCTTTAATGTCCCTTGATGTTGTCTTTTTATGAAGTTTGGCTGCTAGTGGAGTGAAAATGTCTTCCTGCATGCAGCATTTTGAAAAGGCAGTAAATAGCAAAACATCACAGCCTGCTCTGGGATGTGAGGATGATGGCCTCACTTTTGAATGAAATACAACTATCTATTCAGTTACAATATCCCCAAATGAGATAATTTTCCATTTTTTGCTCAAGTGTACAGCAAAAAAGAAACACACACACACACACACACACATCCCCCATTAAAAAGCCTGTTAAAAAAACCCACTTATTCTGAGATGTTGAGTAGGTGTTGCTTTTTTTTAATGATGCTTGACTCCCAGTCACCCTGCTGCATTTTTCTCCTTTTGCCTCTGTTGAGAGCATATTAGTTCTGCAGTGAAGATTGTAATGCACAGAGTTTGCTGCAAGTCTGGGCACTGGTTTGTATAGTCCAAAAGTGTGCTTTCTGCTGGGATCATCTTTTCTCTCTGTCACGTGAACTGAAATCTGGAATCTGATACCATGATTACTTTATTCTCCCTTAATGTTCCCTGCAGCCTAAATGGAAACTTAATGAGTCTGTCAGGGATATTGGGGACCAAGGTTTTAAACATTTAGTCATCTTTTGCTGCCCAGTGAGTTAAATACAAATTATTCCAAAATAAAGCAAGCACTTTTAGATGAATATTTGCTGTCCTTTCTGCTGTTACAGCAGTATGATGTTCTGTTGCTTTGACCAAGTAGATACTCATTTATCTTACACTCTCCAGGTACAGGTGAACTCCAGAATCTGTGTGGAGTGATACCGCCAGTTTTATGAAACATCTCCACATGAAATATAAACAGTTATTAGCTCTAGCAGTAGCTCTTCATGGGAATGATGTACAAAGGTCTGTCTGATGTACCAAAAAGCCCGTTTTTCACCTGAATTTCACAAAATACTAGAGTTTAATTAGTAACACATTCTGTTACAAGTCAACATTAAGTTAGGAAGCCACTCCATTTAGCACTTGATCTGAGATTTTAAAAGCATGTCTACTGCAACACTTAAAGGGATTAATGATATTTTATTGCAGCTTCACAGTTTGTGGTAAACATGCTGTCGCTGTGCTCCAAGAGAAGGATTTCTCCATTCTTTACAGGCAATTTCCAGCTGTTTAGTAGTTACTTCTCTTTTGAGACCTGGGTTATGCTCATCCCTTTCCACCCCTTGGCACCAAGTTGTTCATCTTGCTGCCTTTGACAGATCTGGTTGGTGTGTTCCCTTCCCATGCTCACAGAGTGGAAGAGCATGCATTGATTTTGTTGTTGGATGTGCAGAAGATCCACTCCCCTCTTCTGATACATACCTTGCCCTCAAACCACTTGTCACTCCAGCCTTGCCTTGATCTCCCTGACTTCTGCTTCTGTCTTCTCCCAGGCTGTTATGTCTCTGGTAAGAGCATGCTTGGCCTGCCTGCCAGTGGCAACGTGTAGACAGTGAACGCTGCTCATTGAGGGCATGGAGGAGGGGGTGAACTCCCTTTTAAACTCTGCTCTCCTCAGTTTTTTGTAACTGCATATATAAACCAGTTCATTTGATATGTTTTCGATGCAATTTCAGCATTC